AAGTGAGTCCCTGTTGGTTTGTAAATCCTTTCAATGAAAGAATTACTTTTTAATGCTTGGAAGTCAGCCCCATGCTGAGCACATAATTGGAGTTTTCAGTTTTCAGTGTCAAGTGCTAGGGATTAGTGGGGCCCAGAGGCTCTCTTGGGCAAGGGTATTAGCTACCTGCATAATCTTGATCAACTACCTCCATATATACAGTCTTCAGTACAGTGCTAAGTAAAGTGCTATACAAATGAAGATTCTGGACGAGACTTCTGGCCTCTTTTTTAAGGGATTGTTGTTTTTAATTCTATCCTATATAGAAATTCTGGAGCAGCAACTGCCTGGGACATGAAGATTAATAAAACTGGTTTGTTTTCAGGAAAAGTCTAATCTAATAGATGACAAGGCTGAGTAATAAAAATTACACAACAATCAAAGCATATAAAAAATATTCAGGACCGGACAGTGGCACAGGTGTAATACAACTGTGGGGCTGACCTACACGAGAAGGTCCTAGGTTCACATCCAGAGACCTTCCTGAACACATAAGGTATGTGCATACCCATGATTCTGGGCTGACTAAAGCTGAAGGATGGATCGCAGCATGAAATACCAGGCTTGGGTGCATATCTTTGTCTACTTACATCCATCTCTGTCTCTCTCATTCATGGAATTAATTAATTAATTAATTAATTAATACTTTCTAGAGAGCTCATATGCTCACCAGAGGAGAGAGACTGGGACAAGTAAGATGAGAAAGCCCCCTCTGTGGGCAACAGTCACACCTCAATCACTTCTTCATTTCTCCTTTAGGGATTTTGGGTGCACATGCGTGTTCACACACATACAAACACACACGTGTGCGATGAGCATGTTTCTCAAGTTGCCAAGTCTGAGATTTGAACCGTGCAGTTAGCCATGTGACATCCAGCCACCTTAATCAGTACAGCACCTGCAGGCTCAAAATAAATACCGTTTCTAAAAAATTGAAACATTGGCCAGAGAACCTGATATCTGAGTTGATTTTCAAAATATGAATAGAAATTAATTCAACGGAACAGGGAAGAGCAACTCAACCAAGGGAACTGCATATGCACAGGATTGAAGTTGGAACCAACGGGCTTCATCAGGGAATGAATGGCAGTATGAGTTTGGTGAAAGAGAGCAGTGGGAATGGAGTTTTCCACGGCCTTGGGTGTTCTGATGGGAGGAAAGTCACTAGTAGGGTAAACTTGTGGAAATAGACCCCACTGTCTCTTTTTTTTTTTTTTTTTTGCTAAGAAGTTGGCTCTTGTTGGCATAATCACTGCACCTCTTTTTTTAAGCAAAGTAGCTTCCTAAAGCCTCTGTAAAACAGGCCAGCAGGACTGCAGCCATTTTGAAATTAAGAAAGACCTCTAGGGACCAGCAGTTGGCATAACAGCTATGTCACTGGGCTCCCATGTACTCAACTGTGGTTTGAGTCCTGGACCCGGTGGCTTAAACTCACGCTGGGTGCATGTGCGTGCGTACCCAAGATCCCAAGAGGAGAATGGAGGAGAAGGGATTGTGGCATGGACATCACCCCCCAGGGGGAGGTGATTTCTCACCTTCTGTCTCTCTGTCTCTCTCTTTTCTGGCAAGCACACATGCCCTATAGCAAAAACTTCTCAAAAAAAAAAAAAAAAAGAAAAAGAAAAACAGAAAGACCTCTAATGAGAACAATCATAGGGAGATCTGTTTGAGAAACTGTCAGATGAACCAGGAATGAGTATTTGAAGAAATCAAGAAAATTGCCCAGGGGAAAGCAATTGACTCTGATTGATTATAGTAAGAAATGATTTACATGTACTTGTATCTTGTACCTATAAATAATAAGAATATGAGCTTTTGAGACAGTTTGATAGTACTTGCTGTCTCCTTGTACCTGGTTACAGAAATAATCTCTTTTCCAGCCTCTGTCTCATTTCATTGACCACAAGAAGCAGCAGCCAGACTTAGTTGACTGTAACATCTAGGACCACAGGTGGGCTATCCTGGTTGTAGTCTCCACGCTCATTATAACGCAGTCACTTTCAAAGGGTTTTGACTGTCACCCCCAGTAGAAAATATACTTTATGCTGTGATAAAGAACACAAATACAACATCCGAATACGATTTCCATAAAATAATCCCTATGTGATCACCTATGGTGCATTTTGATATTTTGGTTCCTATTGCATTCCATTTAAAAGAAAAAGAGAGAGAAAAAAGAAAGAACAAACAAAAGAAAGAAAAGTTGGATGAGACCCACTAAATTGATTTCACAATCTAATGAGTCACAACTCACAGCTTGAGAAACGATGTTCTAAGACTCACATCTTAGTTTGGAAGTGTTAAGAGGCGGCACAGTGGAGTGGCTAAGAATATCGATGCTGGGCTCAAAATACTCAATTTGAATCCCTGTTCTACTTATCTGTGTGACCCTGGGCAAGTTATTTGCTCTTTTTTTTTTTTTTTTTTAGAGAGAGAGATTTTTGTGATATAGTGCATGTGCACTCACCAGAGAATCAGGGAAAGATAGAAAGAGAGAAATCACCCCCCAGGGAGGTTGGCCATGCTGCAACCCCTTCTCCTCCATTCTCCTCTCAGGATTTTGGCCATTCACACACACACGTCCTGTATGAGTTTTAAGCCACCAGGTTCGGGACTCAAACTGCAATCAACTCTGTGGGAGTCCAGTGATGTACCCATTATGCCATCTGCTGGTCCCCTATTTACTCTTTTAATATCTCAATTTATTGCCTGCAAACTGAGAAAAAAGGACTGTGAGTATCTCCATACACTGAGCTCTCCCCTGCCACCTCCTCCTGTACTCTATCACTCTTCCTTCCTTTCTTCTGTGCAGGCTCAGCTGGGAATCAAAAGGATACTGTGGCCATTACCTTTACCCCATGGGATTGGCCCATAGCTGGGGCTATTCTGGAGGTATGAGGTCATCTCCCAAGTCAGCATCACAAGGTCAGGGGTCTGACTATAACACACTTTCCTGTTGATTCTGATGGTCGATAAACGAACCTGTTATTGTCATCTCCAAACAATGTGTGTAGAAACCATACCCCTGCTTCGGTGACAGGGAATCTGCATTGCTCTTTGAGTGGTTTATGCATTTCTTGATGTTGAATGTATATAACCTTGATGTATGCCTACTGACGGTGCAACTGGCCATTAGCAGTGCTTCCCGTGCTGTATGTAAGCGATAAAAGATGTCTGTCTCTGCCGGACCTCCAAATGACTTCTTTGGGATTGCTAAATGTTATGCACAAGCCTCCTCAGATTTGGGGCTTCCACCTTACAAGTATCCACCTCCTATGGTTGATGTGAGGATTAGTGAGCTAATATATGGAGGTCACTGTGCCAACAGAAGGTAGCGTGAGCTGGCAGCCTCACTGCCTGTATCAGCATGAGGTAAAACTCTGAGAGCAACGTGGAGCCTCTTGGAGCCCCTTTCCCTCCCTAATGAGGGGAGCGAATGAGTGGACTGCAGGAAGAAGGCACCTCTTTGAAGAAGAGTGAGCTCTCGCCACACTGAATAGGCTGGTACCCAATCTTGGACTTCCCAGTTTCCATGACTATGAGCAGTGAGTTTTAGCTACTTTTAAATTACCCAGACCGAAGTACTGGGTCATCAGAGAAGTCATGATGCACTTTTGCATAGAAAAACATAAGCAGAATGACTTTTTTTTTTGGGGGGGGGGAGAGGTTTTCACTATAGGGTACATGCACTCGCCAGACAGACAGAGACATAGAGACGGAAAGCGAGAAATCACCCCCCCCAGTGGGGATGGTCACGCCGCAATCCCTTCTCCTCCATTCTCCTCTCGGAATCTTGGGCATGCACGCACACACGCCCGGCATGAGTTTAAGCCACCGGGTCTAGGACGCGAACCGCGGTTGACTATGTGGAAGTCCAGCGACATAGCCATTACGCTAACTGCTGGTTCCCCAGAATGACTTTTCTAACAACACAATATTTTGCCATAGCATCCCAAACAGACTAAGATGATCTACCATGCATTTGGGGACCATATTAGACCATATCAGTGCAGGAAAAGAAAGATTGAGTTTCTTTTCTCATTAAATCAGTGCATTCAACTCGATAAGGGACAACCTATAAAGGGGGTTTTGAAAAGAGCTTTAGAAATAAAACTGGTTTTCTTTACAAAATAAGAAAGAAAGAAAGAAAGAAAGAAAGAAAGAAAGAAAGAAAGAAAGAAAGAAAGACAGACAGGAAGGAAGGAAGGAAGGAAGGAAGGAAGGAAGGAAGGAAGGAAGGGAGGGAAAAAAGAAAGGAAGAAAAAAAGGAAACAAACAAAAAAAAAACTTTCATTATGCCAAAAGTTGGCATGATTCAGCCCGCCTATCTCACCCAGCAACTCAGATGCTCAGGTGGCAGTTCAGAAAGAAAAGAGGCACCTCACATCATATGGGGTAGAAGCCAAACTTCAAGAATATTCAAACAACCACTGAAAGGACAAATTCAAGAAATAAGGAACTAGAGACGAGAAATAAATGTTTCATTGGTCATGATGATCAAAAATGATGGTTAACACACACACACACAGACCTCATTCCGCCTACTGCAGGGCCGAAGTGACACTTCTGGGCCTGGCACCCTTCGGGCTGGGCTTCCCTGTGGGCCCTGCTGGCACCTCCCCACCCACAACTCTGCCCTTTATTATGAGTTTCTACTGCCCTGGTCTTCATATTCCCTCAGCATGGCACCCGGACACTCAATGTCCAGGGAGAGATGTGAAAGCGAGGACTCGGCCCAAGGCTGTGGCGGGCAGCGTTGCAATGTCCATGAGTTCTTCTCCACCTCCTTTTCCCAAACTCTCTCCTTCTCTCCCCTCTCCCACCCCATCATTGTTCCCCAGAAACAAATAGGATGGCTTCACTGGTCAATTCTTTACATGTACAAACACCAAAAGCAGAGGAAACGCCCCTTGGCCACCCCCCTCCCCCCAAACCCCAGTGCTGGGAGAGCAGCTGCGGGGCTGCCAGGCTGCCTCGGGAACTGCGGAGCTGCTGGGGCTGTCCGGCTGTCCTGGAAACTTCTTTGGCCTCGGTGCTTTACCTGGAGGCCTCTTCCTTCAGCTCCTTGTTTTTCCGCACCTCCTCCGCGTGCTTGTCCTGGAAAAGAAGGGAGGATAAAAGACAGGTCACACAAGGCTGCCTGGGATGAAGGGTGGCTAAGGGGCAAGAGGACCAAAAGCCTTAAAGAATGGCCACGGCAGGAAATGAAGTGCTGTGTCTGCACAGGTGTCCTGAGTGGGCAGAAGGTGGCAGGTGAGACTGGCAGGTGAGCAAGCCTGATGTGACCTGAAAGATCTCAGGGGCTGGTGGGTCCTGACCTCCTGGAGGGGACCCACTTCACAGTGATCCCAGGGCACCCATCTTCTCCCTCCCTCACCTGGCCATTCTGGGGTTGGATTGATTTTTGTCACCTGACATCATGGAAGGAGCCACTTGGGGTAGCTTGTGCCAGAGGAGCTGGTAGGCAAACAGTGTCTTTGCAAGCATTCCCTACAAATTGCATGCACTTGCCTGCTGCCTTTATTTCTTGTCCATTTCCTTAGTGAGAGTCCCTTTACCCGCCTTGGTGAAAGATGAGAACTCTTAAGATAGATATTCACACAAGAACTTTGGAAAATATTGCCCAGCTTAAGAAGTCAACTTTCTTGCAACTGGTATAAGAGAACCCTCTTGTGTCAGAGTCACCGAGACTAGGGATGGGATCTGTCTTCCAAGCCCACCAGTAGGTGACCTTGACTGACCCACTTCTCCAATCAGGCCTCAGCTCTCTGGTCTTAAAAGAGAGGGATGTGAATGGGAAGCTCTTTCTCATTGAGAGTTCTCTGCTTATAGTATTCACCTGTCAAAATGTATTGCAGTCTGCCTTACGTCACTGCTCATTGTGGGTCATTTTAGACAGTGACTTCCTTTTGGGCAGAGGTCATGTCTTGTTTGTCTGTATTCCCAGTTGCTACTCTGGCACCTTGTACATGCCAAGTGCTCAATAAATGTTTTCCCTCCCAGAGCCTGGCATTGTCATATTCAGATGATGGCATAAGCTGTAGTAGACCCACTGAGGCAGTCCAGGATCCTAGGATATATATATTTGCAGTTTTTTAAACTATAGATATTTCCCTAGAAAGGCTATAGAACTTTCCATGGCCTGGGAGTGGGAGAAGTGGTATATGTGTATTTTTAAACTTTACAGCAGGTGAGTCTGGTACAGATGGATATGACCCATGGCAAACACTGGCACAGGAGGTGTTATGGAAGGTGTCCATGGTATGATGCACAAGTATGTGGGGTAGGAAACATACACCAAGTTCTCACCCCACCTCCTGACTCTACCAGTGGGTTAAGGGAGCAGGGATCAAGGTCCCAGAGAGTGATGCCTCTCAAATGTCTGCTCTGACATCTTACTTCTTTGAGTCTGTCTCACTTCCTAAGTTAGTATTCCAGAATGTGGGCCTTTCCAATGTCTCCCTCTCTGCTATACCTTCTTCTCAGGTGAGCTCACTAAGCAGAGCCCTGGGTTTCTGGACTCAGTCTCCTTGGCCTCCAATGGCCTCCTCACCAATGAAATGCTGATGAGACAATTGTGGGATATGAGATGAGAGTCATGTAAACTTGGGGCTGAAGAGCTGGGTCCCAGCTCCACTGCTTATAGTGTGGGACCCTGAGCAAATCAGTTGACCTCTGACATGGTTTCCTCGTCTGCAAAAAGGGTATTGCACTCCCCCTTACCTCATGAACTTATGAAGATGGTAGTTATGATGAAATAAGTGTTCTGCAAGCAGTCTCTCAAACATCATGCCATGTGTCTAGCTTGTCAATTACTCATTTGGAGTCTGGCCTGAGAGCCTGTGTCCCATCCTATCTCAACATGAGAGCTTTTTTTTTCTTTGAAAGTTTGTTCCAAGTTATCCTCCAATACTTGGAGAAACTTGAAGTCAGACCCAGATCGCTCCCCTCCCAGTGGTACTTAGTGGAGGACATGCTGCCCCCTGTTGGAGGGAGAACTAGAGTGCAGGAGCTGCCACATGCTGGCCTACTCAATGTTCAAATCCCTGTGAAAAAATCAGATCTTTCTAGGAGCTCTTGCCAAGGGCCTGAGACTCTAAGTGGATGGGCAGGAAGGAGTGGGGACCACGCTGCTCACCATGGGACGAGGCCACCGATCGGGTCCCTGGAGTCACCGCGCAGCAGGCGGCTCCTGGAAATAAAACACAGAGCTGGAGCTCTCCCAGGAGCTGCAGGAGAAACTGGGGCAGCCTTGAGACTCAGGAAATGAGGCCAGCGTGTTCTCAGCAGAACGGTCTGTTATTCTGCTGACACGTGGGACCAACCCCAGTCTCACGTTTCTCATATGTAGGTGACACCATTCAGTTTATTGACTAAAGGCAGCATATTGGAAAGACTTGTGACTCACTCAGTCCATGACAAGGGGTTTAGAGAGAATCATGTTTCCTGGTTGATAGGCAACTCAGCGCATCATGCCCTTGGCTTAGAGCCAAGAGCTCAAGTCTGCATCTTTGATTAAATTAAATAAGTCCATTCAAGGATGACACCAGAAATGTACAACTGTTTGCCTATCCCTACTCCTTTGCATCAAGTAGGCCTTCTCTAGAATAAGAGGTTTAAGCTCTCTAAGATGGGAAATTACAATTGTGTAACTATGCAGAATATCTCCCAAGGAAAGTCAAAGCTTGGTTCATGTTTCTTGCCTGTGACTTCCCAAATCATCCCCTTGAAACTCTCTAAGGATCCTGTCTAATATATGTATCCCCATTCCTGCCCCAGGCTGCTTTCTCCTTAAAGTGAAATGCAGGTCCACATATACTTGCCATGGAAAGAAGACAGAGTATCCCAGGAGCCTCCTTTCTAATCTAGGACCTCTTACCTTCTCTTGCAGACGTTCCAACATGGCAGCAAGGTGGGCCTCCCGGTTCTCCTTATTGGATTCCATTTTCTGGGCCAGTTTTTCTTTAGCCATCTTAATGAAGTTGTTGTTTTCTTCAATGGCTTTTTGGATCACCTCCCGCTCATGTTCTCGTTTCTCTGCCAGGTGCTTCAGGAGCTCAGCTTCCTGGTACTAGGGAAGTACAAAGGTAGAAAGGCTTGCTGTGTTTGAATGCCCTTCCAAAATTCATGTGTTGAGATTTGGTTGTGACAGGATTAAGAGGATGAAACCTAATTTGACTGAGTGTTGAAAGTGGTGGCTTTGGGGGGAAGATTAGGATTAAAGTCACTGTGTGGGGCCCCTGTGATTGATTCCTGGTGCATTTGTAAAACGAGGAAATAGATGAGACCAGAGCAGAGACACATGGATACACATGCATGCTCTCCTGTCCTCTGCCATCTTGTGAAGACCAGAAGACCCACACCAGATGTAGCCCCTGGACCTTGGACCTCAAAACTGTGAGCTGCCAACCAAACTACAAACTCCTAGAGGCCAAGGGCTTTTCCTTCTTTGTTTCCCTCAGGGATGCCTCACTCTCTGCTCCCCACCTGAGAGGTACTGCCTACAGGTTTGCAGGTTGATGGCAACCTAACCCCAGCTCAGGGCCACCACCTGTCTTCTCCTATTTTCTCCCACTCAGTCTGAAAAGGAGGGAAGAGTGGTTAGTACTTACCTTCCTTCGCTCCTCAGCTGCTTCTAGCTTTTTCTGTATCTCTTCCAGTGATGGGTCTCTCCGCCTGGGTAGGGAGGCATTGAATTCGGGCACCCCATCAAAGGAGGGTGGTTTCAGGATGACTTCGAAGGACTGCCCTGAGGTGCATTTGTTCAGTTCAATGACTTCCATGTCAGAAATTACACACCAGTTCAGGTCCACAGTGTCAGCTGCAGAGAGCAGAAGAGGGGCTGCTCACCTCCTGCAGAATGTGTGGGCACCGTCAAGCATGCACACAGACATGGGGGAGCTAGATGCCCAGGGCAAACAGGAGACAAAGGGTCTGGCTCAGTCCTGATCATTACTACTTAAGGCCCATGGACTTTGTTACAGCTGAAGGATTTCATAGCCACAGTAAAGTTTTAGACTCCCAGAGTAGCAGGGACCCAGGATATGTAGTTTCTGAACATGGCTACAGTAACCTGAGCTGCTTTGCTTTGGCTTCTGCCATCTGTCTCCCCTGACAGTTGGGCACTTGCTCAAATTGTCATCTATGGTGACAGAGTGTGTTGCGTATACCCCCAGCTCACCCACCCCCCCATCCACTCCTCATCCCACTACCAATCTGACAGCTCAGCCTATGGATGCCTCTCCCCTCACTCCCTCCTACCCTCTTCTCTTCTTTCTCTCCAGTCAGCACTGTCTTTCCGCTGGCTTTGAGATTTTCTCCTACACTGTCTCCCACACCAGCCTAAACAGAAAAAACAATCTCAGGTCATCCAAGCACTCCTGTCTCTCATTGCCAGACAAATCCATCCCTTCCTTTGAACTAGGAAATTAGGAAATGATCTGTTCCCCAACCAGCCCTGATGAGAACATGCAACCAGTGCTCCCTGCCAGAGTTGTGGGGATATCCCTGCCAGAGGCCCCATGGGTCACAGAGCCTCCTCACAGCACTGCAGACAGAGGCCTTCTTCCCACCCCTGGACTATGCCAGAACATTCTCTACTCTTCCCTGAGACCTATTGACCCCGGAATCTAGTGATACACAGTCTTCTCTTCTCCTCTAGTCTAGGTAATCCCCACAGGCAGAACCTCTGTCAGGGGCACCTTTGCATCCTCTGGGCAGCAATTTGCTAAGCGAATGAACAAAGGGGACACTAAGACTGAGGTCGCTCTGGGGTACCTGAGTCAGAACTAACTCCACCCACTGTCTGGTGCCAGCCTGTACCCCTTCACCTCAGACCCTCAGGTTCAGTGGGCCAAGATGTGGGGATGGAGGTTCATGAAACTGGGGCACAACCATCATACCCATGAAGCCTTCCACCCTCTACGTTCCTAGGGAGCCTTCACCAACCTTCATATTTGTAGGATGACTTATTCAGGGGATCCGCCAGGAAGCAGGAGCAGAACAAGGATACCAGTGGGAGCTCCTTCATCTTCTCTTTGTAGGCTGTGGAAATACCACAGCAGGTGAGGATGGGCAGCTCCTTTAGACTTGGGAGCTTGCATTCACGTGGTCCTGAAAGTCTGAGCAGGCTGGGCTCCACAGAGGCACCCAAACCATTCAGACTCATGTCCAGGTGGGGAATCAGCACTCTTTGCCCTGAGCCACCCAGTTTGGGATTCCCACATGTGATTTAGAGCCACGATTGTCCCCCAATGAAACCTGAGCCTTCCAAAGTGCACAGAGACATCATCTTTCTTCCTAGAATGCCATCTCACTCTCATTGGTCTAAATGCAAAGATCCTTGGGTGGAGACCCCGAGCACCAATCTCCTCTCCCAACTCCACCCTCTTGGGACTTTGCTCTTGATTCCTTCACACTTGGCCAGGGATACTCCAATTCTTTACCTCTAGGATGCAGGAAATTCACCATCCTGCTCAAAGTTCTTAGCAGTGCTGCCCCAAAGAATTACAAAGCTGGACAGGATGGGGCAATTGTGCCTGCTCCTCTGGTTTAGCTGTGAGCCTTCCCTGGCCTTCCTAATACTGTGCTTAAAGACAGGAGGTTGTGGAGGGGTGGCACCCTCTCCCACAAGGTCTGGAAGTACCCCACCTTCTCTGGTCTCTGTGTTTGGAGGGTCACAGTCAGAGCTTCCCTGGCCCAGTTCTGTTTCTGCTAGTTCCTGCCCCACTCCCCTGGAGTCAATGCACCTGGCTTCATGCTTGGCATGCCTGGTCTCGTAGCACTCAGCTGAGCCCCAGCACTGTGTAGGTGCTCTCCCTCTCATTTCCTTTTATAAATTCGAAAACATAAGTAACTGCAAAAATAATACATGACCATTGTAAAAACTTAAAACAAGCACACAGAGATGAGCAAAAGCAAGCAAAACTCTGCTGTGATCCCACTATCCAGGATCATCTCTTTCCACCCATAGACATATACCCTGTCAGTCTTGTTTCTGTACATTTGTAAATACATACAGTAGTCTCCCCTTATCTGCTAGGGATGTGTTCCAAGACACCCAGTGGATGCCTGAAACCATAGATAGTACCAAGCCCTCTTTTTTTTTTCTTCTTCTTCTTCTTCTTTTTTTGGAGAGGTTTTTGCTATAGGGCGCGTGCGCTCACCAGAGAGACAGAGAGAGACAGGGAGACAGAAAGTGAGAAATCACCCCCCAGGAGGGATGGCCACACCACAATCCCTTCTCCTCCATTTTCCTCTCAGGATCTTGGGCATGCACGCACACGCGCCCGACGTGAGTTTAAGCCACTGGGTCCAAGACTCGAACCATGGTCGACTACGTGGACGTCCAGCAACATAGCCATTAGCTAACTGCTGGTCCCCCAAGCTCTCTTATAGTGTTTGCTCAGTCTGATAACAGGGTGTCCACTAAGTAACTAATGGCAAATGGCATATACAGTGTAGATAGCTGGACAAAGGGATGATTCACATCCAGGGAGGGCTGGAGCAGAATGGTGTGAAATTTCATCATGTTACCCAGAAGGGCATGCAATTTAAAATGTACAAATGATCTATTTTGGGAATTTTCCATAAATATTTTTGGTCTGTGGTTGATCACAGTAACTGAAACCGTAGACTGTGGATCCGTGAATCGGGGGACTACTGCATCTCTGTGTAGAGGACTAGTCATTAGTCATGGTGCCCTAGCCCATCATGTTTGTACCTACCAGCGAGGGTCATGTTTTCTGGGATCTTGTGGCTGAATCCAACAAAAGTCACAGACCGGGTCAGTCAGCAGTTCAGGATGCTGTCACAAACCTGAAAAAGGGGATAGTTTTACCTGACAGGTTATTCTCCTAAGGGGGGGTCTTCATACTACCAGAACAGGAATCTCAGGGGGCCTCGTTTATGCTCACCTCCATGCCCTCTACTTACCAATTCTCACTTTCCCTAATGCTGACCCCTCCCGCCCCACCCCAATCAAGCTTATTGTCCAGTCACTGATGAGCGTTTTATAGTTAACTTCCTCGAGGTCCCCACAATAGGCAAACATGGGTTTCCTAAAGCCTTGGGGTCAAAGAGTGCTCATCCTTCTCCCTGTGCAGTTCAGGGGCCTGGACCAAAGTAAGGTTAGGATGAGAGGCAAATCCTCAGTCACAATCGCCTGGGAGGTATTCATAAAATAACTATGTGTCCTGAACTTGACCTCCTGCCTGCCAGTTCTGATATGAGGTGAAAGGGAATCAGATGGAGAATGTGAAAATACTCCTTCAGATACCCCCCCACACACACACACACACATTTCCCCTTCCCCAGGAGCTTTTGGTCTAACCTCTCCTTGACTCCATTTAAGACAATCCTAGACAATAAGGCCATGAAGGTATGATGTCATCATCATGTGATAGTGAGAAACAGACTGCCATGTGGATCATGTGGGAGCACAGGCATGGGGCTCCACACTCAACAGGAAGCCAGAGGAGCCAAGGAGGGCCTCCTAGCATTGGCAATATCTGAATTGAGTTCTACAGGACAAGTCAGGATCTGGCAGGAAGTGGCAGGGAGGGCATTCTGCCCAGGGAACAGCAGGTGCAAGGGTTGGGCGAGAAAGCTCCATATCTGTGGGAATGGATGTTGAGCTGGTTGGTGCTGGACCAGAAAGTGGGAAGATAGAAGGGGAAGGAATAAGGAAACAAGATAGGTAGGAAAGGAAAAGGTCTGAGAGTATCTAGGGCTTAGGAGGTGACAGAGATCCACTGAGAATACTTTCAAGGGAATGAGGAATGCCCAGTGGTGAGTACCTATCATTAGGAGTGCTTGATCCTTGGCCACCCTTAGAGGTCACTAGGTCAATGGAGGGTGGCATAGCTGAATCCCACTGTCTATATTACCACAAGGCACCAGAACTCTGAGTCCACCTTGGAGCTCTT